TTTTGAAGCGATTTAAAATCGTTAAAATTTGTTATTGAAATTTGAAAATTTTGAAGCGATTTAAAATCGTTAAAATTTGTTATTGAAATTTGAAATTGTTGAAATTTATTATCGAAATTCGAAATTTTCGGAATTTACCTCTGAAATTTGAAATTATTGATTTTTATTTATCTAAGAGTTACTGAAATCTATTAATTTAAAAAGTTTCAAAATATGGTTTGCTTACTTGAAAAGATGACCATTAATGATCATTACTTGTAATAGTTTGCAATGATTTTTTTTAAATTTCATTTTACTTTTATATTTTATTTTCAGCTGGAAAAAATTTTTCATTTAATTAATTAACTCATGAAACATTTTGTAATTGGAGCTCTAACTCTAACTTAATTTTTTGATGAGTTTAAAAGAAAAAAAAATTTTCAACATTTTTCAGAGTGGACAAACAGCGTTACATCTTGCTTTAAGGCGTTCACAAATTGACATTGCATTACTTCTGTTAACAAAAGGTTGCAAATTGGATGTACAAGATGAGGTCAGTTGAAAATGATTGTGAAATGGTATATTAAATTAATAAGATTGTGTTAATGCAATTATTTTTTATTATCAAAAATTTATTGATCCACTAATAGTTAATTATTTTAAGTGACTAAATAGTAAGCTATGATTACATCTCACAAAAGTAATTAAGGAAAATTCTTCTAACATTTTTCTTCTCACTTTCAATCTTTTTTTTTTTTTGAATGAAAATTGTTGCAACATTTTCGTCTCACTGTATGCATTGATTTAGATCCGGTCTTATTTTCATCATTCATTCTTTTAAAAATGATGATAATTGCATGTGCTTTTTTTATATTTAAAAGAGAGATACCTGTTAATGAGATATCGATCCACCATTCACCTCTATTTTTTTTTCTTACTTCACCTCCTCTATCTTTCATCTATCCTCCAAATTTAAGAAGAAAAAAAAAATGTTTTTTTTTTTTTTGCTAGAATGGTGACACAGCTTTGCACATTGCCTCTCGCATTGGACTTCTATCGGTTGTTCAAACGCTTTGTCATCTTGGTGCTCTTGTCGACATTGTTAATCAGGTACTGCTCTTTTCTTCTTTCTTTTCATTGTTATAAATAAATACATAAAATTTCAAACTAAGCCTAAACCTTTTCATAGACAACATTATCATTTGTGGTGAGAGAATATTTGAGATTGGTCACATGCATGATCATTGATCATATGGCCAATAGTCATGTAGTAATGAAGTTGAACCTTTTCATAGGTAACATTATCATTTGTGGCAAGAGAATACTTGAGATTGGTCACATGCATGATCATTGATCATATGGCCAATGGTCATTTAGTAACCAAATTGTGAATGCAATATTTTCATATCACTATGAGTAGAGAAGGATTATTGATATAAGTGGACAAAAGGAACTTTCAACTTTGAATAATTTACCTTCTGCATATTTTTGTCTCTTCTCCTGTCCATATCTTGTGACCGGAGGCTATTTATTCCAATATTTCGAGATATGTGTGTGTGCGTGTGTCTGCTTTACACTTATTACAGGTGTGCATTTGATAGCGATAATTAATAGGCAAACATGATATTGGCAATGGAAACTTGTTAGGAAAGGAAAAATGAATTGACAACAGTTGTGAAGACAAAGATATCTATTAGCGATTAATACATTTGAGAAAAATATTTCGTTTTCTTTTTTTTTTGGCGAAAATTTCCAACAACATATTTGCGCGGATGAGATAATAATACTAATAACAACAATAATATCCTTTATTACTTTCTCACCCTCCTCTCCCTCACAAAAAAAAAGGAAGTATTGTAAGCGGAAAATAACACTTATGAAAGTCTATTTCCGCCTTTTCCAAGCGATGAATGTTTTTTAATTCTATATGATTACTCTCAAGCTTTGTATCTCTTATTCTTCATAACTAATCCCTTGATAAAGCAATTGGATTATTGAACATAAATCAATCCCTTCATTTAATCATGGAGAAAATGGCGGTAAGTTACACTGATTTACTGTATGCCATTTGCGCTTATCCTTTTTTCTCTTCCCAAATGTTCCATTATTTCTTTTTATATTCTTTTGAATCATTGAATGATAAGTGCATATCCATTCCATTTCCCATCACTACTACATAATCTGAAGTGCAAAATTTTAGAAAATAAAGTAATGCATTAGCATTAACTTTCAATTTTTCTACCTCTTAACAATCTCTACTGATAAGCGGGAATCGAAGATCTTAGTAATTAAGTTTGAATAAGTTTATCTTAGTAATAAAGTTTGAATAAATTCATCTTAGTAATTAAGCTTTGATGAGTTTACCCTAGCAATTAAGCTTGAATAAGTTCATCTTAGCAATTAAATTTGAATTGATGTTTGTGATGTTGAAAAACTGTGTTACTTTTTTTTTCTTTTATTTTCAGCTTTTGTTTGGAAAGTAAAAACTAACCTAAAAGATCAGATATATGAAAATCAGATGTATTTTAGGATTTTCTTTTCCTCTTCCTCTTTTCAATTTCGAAAAGTTTATTCGTTGACAATAAGTAATACGAACCATTTATCCTTTACCATTTACCATTTACTGTACTGCAATTACCGCCTCAATAACTTCCTGTTTAAGTAACATATAGTCAATGACGCCTATATATTCGTGTAGTAATTAAGAAGGGCCAATTTTCATCTTTTCCATCTAAAAATCCTCTACTCTATTCAATTAATACTATTATTTCAGTAAAGGTCATTAGTTTAATTTATTGATAAGAAGGATGGTAAATGCATAGTCTATGCAAATTTTCTGAAACTAATCAACAAAAGACTGTAAGATATGAGGATAATTGTGACGAAGTATTATTATAATTAACTTTTTTAACAGCTCTAAATATCAAGCCATCTTTCTTATCATAATCATTCCTGGCTCTTGTCATTTAATATGATATTATCACTTTGCTTTACCATTTAAGACAAAACAAGTTGTGATTTTTCAAGAAATTACTTTGCTCGATAGATGTCAACTCTTACTTTACTCTTGTTTGTTTCTACATTCCATTTATGCTTCATCTAATTGCGCCACGGCTAAATCTCATGCGGAAAGAGAATATTCCGCATCCTTTTCTTCCGCAATGGTATCACTTGGTTATATGCTAGTTTGTGCAATTATTTTCCCTTCAAAATGCACTAACTTCAATCAAAATGCTTTTTTTTTGCTTTATATTCCGCTTTCCCATTTTCCCTGTAACTGTTGTAAATTTATGGAATCGACAGAAATGAGCCGGTTTTGATTGAATTGATTTCATTTATAACGATTTCCCGTACCTTTACTTTATTTTCCATTAAAAATGTTTGTCATCATCAGATGACACATAGAATTGTCATGCATTACGCAGAATGCCAGCTTTGATATTGCCGATAGTTGATGCGCGGTATGCGGGAACTGAAGAATAGAAGCATTTCTGGATTTAATCTTTCTTCTAGATTTGGCTACTTTTCTTGAATTCTGCTTATTCGTTTAGCTTTCATTAATTGAGCACATATATCATTACCCTTTATTATAGCATTAGTATCATTCCAGATGTGGTACTTATGGTATGTGCATATGACCACATGCAGTACTACGTCCTGATATCTCTACAAAAAAAAAAAA